GACTCGATCCAGGGACCTCGAGGTCGGAAGTCAAGTGCGTTACCGATATACCAAAATATTTCCCATAGAGATACACGGAACAACGGAAAATACAATTCTCAAACCCACTTTGTAAGTGAAATATGAGCAAGATACCGGCATCTGATCGAAAATAAAGGGCACACTTATTGTAGCTCATTATCTCAGCTACAACATACTCAAAGCTCAGCGTAAACAAAGGTAAAACGACGGAGATATTGCTCGCGAAATACAAGAATGTAGAATCCAGTTTTGAGAAAAAGTCCTGTCCCGTAGAGAATACACGCAAAATGTAAAAAATTGACATGCCTCCTTTATTACAAAAATACGCCATGATGCCATTGTCAAAATGAAAAATACGTCGTGATTTATTTGTAGAGATTTGTCTCAGCTAGAACATATCAAAATTTGGATGAAAATTGATCAATATTTACAGAGATACAATCAATTTCCAAAAATATGCTGACGTCATAATATGCAAATTGAAATTTTGAGTTCGGAGGCCATTATGATGACGTCATGAGTTAATTGAGTGTCAAATAAGCATGAAACATATCTCCGACTCATAATCTATCCAAATATGAAAAAGAATTGGGAGTATATATCCATTCTGAAGAGCTACAATGGACTTTTGTATAGGCATGTTTTTGCCCATATATGCTATGTATTACAAGAGCTCGCACGCACGGACATTTACCTTGAACGGAGGCAATCATGATGACGTCATGAGTTAATTGAGGGTTCGAACGGACTTTACCTTGAACGGACGCTCATTCGTTATTAATGGTCATAAAGAGATAAACATGGTATCAAATTGTTTGGATAAATTGGGCAATACTATGATAGACAAAAAAAGGCAATTCCCGGTGCGTACGACCATTACGAAACACAAACGTGCGCGCAAATTTATGCTTGCGAACATTTTCGAAATTTTCGAAATGCTTGAAATGGCCTAAAACGTACTCTAATTTGATCAAAAAGTGATTATGAGCATTTTTTTATTTTGCGCGCACCTACGCGCGGACGGACGGTACGCGCGCGTTAATGACCTTAAGTTGACCGGACGGATATTGACCATAATTGTTATAAATATGAATGAGAAATGATTTACGGTTATGAAGATATGATCATGAGTTGATTCTCAGAGCACTCACAAAAATGGCGCCTAGATGACGTCACGATATTTGATGAACTTGAAAATGTTCCTGTCACGTATTAAGATAATGACCTAGGACTGTGTTAAATTTGAAAGAAATTGGACGGTTCAATTTTGAGTAATCGTGCACACAAAAGAGTGGTCACAAATTTATTTTAATTGAATTGTGTTTTGTACAAATTCAATTAAAATACTAGAAATTTAATTCGTCATGGGGACGAATTAGGTGGTCTGTCTTTAATTCCTATGTTTCATGCTCATCTTTAATTCAATATTTACTATATTGAAAAAGGAGAGAAGAAGTTATATAGACATGTAAGAATGATGATCATGATGATGATCTTGATAGTAATGGTGATGACGATGATGATGATGATGGTGATGTGATGATCATCAACAGACCATGATGACATCTGATTAAAAAATGAGGGAACGTTGAGATAGCGTATAGTTCAGCTACAACATACTCAAAATCAACAAAAATCAAGCCGAAATAATGGCGATATTGCTATCAAAAGACAAGAATGTAGAATCCAGATTTGAGAAAAAGTCATCTCCCATAAGGATTACATGCAAAAAGTAATGGATCAAGTGATAATAGGGTAATAATAAAGTAAATATGGTTGTCTATTACATATTTGCGATTGTACGTGTTTTATATTTAAAGGAGATGGTACAGTAAAAGGTCAAAAAGAAAAAAAGTGAAAAAAAAAATTGTTGGAGACCCCCGGACTCGAACCAGGGACCTCGAGGTCGGAAGTCAAGTGCGTTACCGATATACCAAAACATTTCCCATAGAGATTACACGTAAACGGAAAATGGAATGATCAATCCCACTTTGCAAGTGGAGATATGAGCATGATCCCGGCATCTGATCGAAAAATAAAGGGCACACTTGTGATAGCTTATTGTCTCAGCTACAACATACTCGAAGCTCAGCGAAAACAAAGCTAAAACGACGGAGATATTGCTCGCAAAAGACAGGATGTAGAACCAGGTTGAGAAAAAGTCATGTCCTATAGAGAATACACGCAAAACGTGGAAAATTGACATGCCACCTTTAATCACAAAAATACGCCATGATACCTTTGTCAAAATGAAAACGTGGGGCAACTGCATTGGTAGAGAATTGTCTCAGCTAGATCATATCGAAATTAAAAGAAAATCAATCAATATTTACAGAGATGCAATCAATTTTCCAGAAATCTGCTGACGTCATAATATGCAAATTGAAATTTTGAGTTGGGAGGCCATTAGGATGACGTCATGACTTAATTGAGGTCAAATGAGACATGAAATCATATCTCCAACTCATGTTTTTTCTAACCATGATATAAAAGTTTGGGTCATTGGACTATCTGAAGAGCTATTTTGATTTTTAAAATGGCATGTTTTTGATCAAATTTGGCATTATATTGCCCATAGCAGCACGCGCGGATTTTGAACTTTGTCGCGCGCTCACGGCCTTATGAAAGGTCAAGGGTGACTGAAATTAATGTAAATTGTCATTTACGGTAAGAGGAATCTAAATCATGTAAACATTTTGATTTGACCTTTTTCCGCGCGTTGTGAGCGCGCGCAACGCGCGCGGGGACACGTACGGACGGAAAATTTTGAAATGCTTAAAATGCCTGATTCGTACTCTCGTTAATAGTTAGGAGATTTTGAGCATTTTAAATTTTTGACGCACGCGTACGCGCGCGTCATGACCTTTATGTGACCTTTGATGACATGACCTGTTGACCCTTGACCTGAAGTATATGTGATATAAATATGAATGACCTTTGCTTATGCATCATGAAGATATGATGGATAACGTGATTTCACAAAATGGCGTCTGGATGACGTCACGATAACCTAATGACCTCTGAAAATGTTCCTGTCACGTCTCATGACAATGACCTATAACTGTGCCTAAAATTAAAAGAAATTGATTAAACTGATCTTCAGTTATCCTCTGAACAAAAAAGGGGGAGAAATAAAAATAAAGATATAAATAATAATAATAAAGAAGAAAGAAAATTCTGACGAAAACAATAGGTGATCTGTTTCAACAGACCACCTAAAAATTGTTGGAGACTCCCGGACTCGAACCAGGGACCTCGAGGTCGGAAGTCAAGTGCGTTACCGATATGCCAAAACATTTCCCATAGAGATTACACGTAAACGGAAAATAGAATTCACAAATCCCACTTTATAAGTGAAATATGAGCATGATCCCGGCATCTGATCGAAAAATAAAAGGCACACTTGTGATAGCTTATTCTCTCAGCTACATCATACTCAAAGCTCAGCATAAACAAAGATAAAACGATGGAGATATTGCTCCCGAAAGACGAGAATGTAGAATCCAGTTTTGAGAAAAACTCATGTCCCATAGAGAATACACGCAAAATGTGAAAAATTGACATGCCTCCTTTAATCGCAAAAATACGCCATGATGCCCTTGTCAAAATGAAATATCGTGAGAACTGCATTTGTAGACAATATTCTCAGGTAGAACATATCAAAATTTGGAAGAAAATTAATTAATATTTACAGAGATACAATCAATTTTTCAAAAATCTTCTGACGTCATAATATGCAAATTGAAATTATGAGTTCGGTGGCCATTATGATGACGTCATGAGTTAATTGAGGGTCAAATGACACATGAAATCATATCTCCAACTCATGCTTTTTCCGACCATGATATAAAAGTTGGGGTCAATTGACTATCTGAAGAGCTATTTTGATTTTTAAAATGGGATGTTTTTGATCAAATTTGCATTATATTGCCCATAGCAGCACGCGCAGATTTTTAACTTTGACGCGCGCTCACGGCCTTATGAAAGGTCAAGAGTGACTGAAATTAATGTAAATTGTCATTTACGGTAAGAGGAATCTAAATCATGTAAACAATTTGAATTTGACCTTTTCCGCGCGTTATGAGCGCGCGCAACGCGCGCGGTGACACTTACGGACGGAAAATTTTGAAATGCTTAAAATGACCTGATTCGTACTCTCGTTTAATAGTTAAGTGATTTTGAGCATTTTTAAATTTTGACGCGCGTGTACGTGCGCGTCATGACCTTTATGTGACTTTTGATGACATGACTTGTTGACCCTTGACCTGAAGTATATGTGATATGAATATGAATGACCTTTGCTTATGCATCATGAAGATATGATGGATAACGTGATTTCACAAAATGGCGCCTGGATGACGTCACGATAA